ACCTCCCATGGCCCTTTTGGGTCTGTGCTGGGAGCCCTTGGGGGCCTCTTGGTTCCATTATGGGCTGTCTTGGGGCTCTCGTGGGCGATCGTGGGGCCCGGCTCGGCCGTCTTGAAGCTTTCTTGGGGGCCTTATGGGGCGTCTTGAGGCGATCTCGGGGGCTTTGAAACCGTCTGGAAAGCTGATGACATCCGAAAGGCGAATATGCTAAACTTGTAAGTTTTACGAAGGGAATGGGACGATTTTTGTGGTTTGAAGGCCCCTTGGAAAGCTTCTTGGGGTGCCTTGGGGGTCTTTATGTTGGCATTCATTCTGAAACATCGTGGGGGTGTTTTTGGGGCCCTCGTGGGCCGTTTTGGCGCTTTCATGGGCCGTCCTGGGGCCTTCTTGGGCCGTCTTGGGGAGCGTGGGCCCGCTGGAGCCCCCTTTGGACCCATCTTGGGCATTTCGGGGGACCTCCCATGGCCCTTTTGGGTCTGTGCTGGGAGCCCTTGGGGGCCTCTTGGTTCCATTATGGGCTGTCTTGGGGCTCTCGTGGGCGATCGTGGGGCCCGGCTCGGCCGTCTTGAAGCTTTCTTGGGGGCCTTATGGGGCGTCTTGAGGCGATCTCGGGGGCTTTGAAACCGTCTTGAAAGTTGATGACATCCGAAAGGCGAAAATGCTAAAATTGTAAGTTTTACGACGGGAATGGGACGATTTTTGTGCTTTGAAGGCCCCTTGGGAAGCTTTTTGGGGTGCCCTGGGGGTCTCGTGGGCCGTCCTGACGCAATTGGAGTCCCTCTTGGAGCGCTCTTGTACTGTCTGGGGCCTCCCTTGAGCCTTTCTGATGACCCCTCGGAGCGCTCTGGGTCTGCTGGCAAGGCGTTTGTGGAGACCCGGAAACCCGGGTGACCTGTTCCAAAGACGTCCAAGGGAGCCCGAGAACCCCAGATCCCGGAGGGGGGGGAAGGGGGGGGGGGGAGGAAAGGGGGGAAAAAGAAGGGGGGAAAAGGGGAGTCCAGTTTGGGGGGGGGGGATGGTTTTCCCCTTTCCGCCCTGGCTTGTAAATTATAGGAAGAGGAATATATGAAAGAGCGTGTTCTACCGCTCCGCTGCTGGCGGCAAAACCGGGGGGTCTTGGGTTCGAACCCTCCCCCCCCCCCCCGTGGAAAACCGGAGGCGGGTCACTGCCGGTTCGAACCCCCCCCCCTCAGTCCATCATAAATAGGTGGGGGGTCACTACCGGTTCGAACCCCCCCCCTTCGAAAACCGGGGGGGGGGGTCACTACCGGTTCGACCCCCCCCTCCTTGAAAACCGGGGCGGGTCATTACCGGTTCGAACCCACCCCCCACCCCCTCGCCGCAGGCAAACGATGCCCGCTCCTCGGGACAGTTGGAGAATGGTGGGGATGTTGAGACAGTGGTGGGGACGGTGGTGGTGGGGACAGTGGTGCGGGGACAGTGGGACAGTGGTGCGGACAGTGGTGGGAACAGTGGTGGTGGGGACAGTGGTGAGGGGACAGTGGAACAGTGGTGGGGACAGTGGGACAGTGGTGGGGGCGGTAGTGGTGGGGCAGTGGTGAAGGCGGTGGTGAGGACAGTGGTGGGACAGTAGTACAGAGTGGGGACAGTGAGACACTGGAGGGGGCACTGGTGGGGACAGCGGGGGCAATGGTGGGAACAGTGGGGACAGTGGGACAGTGGTGGGGACGGTGGTGATGAGGACAGTGGTGCGGGGATAGTGGGAACGTGGTGGAAACAGTGGGACAGTGGAGGGTACAGTGGTGATGGAGACACTGGTGAGGGCGGTGGCGAGGACGGCGGTGGGATAATGGGACAGAGGTACAGTTGGGACAGTGGTGGGGACAGTGGGGACAGTGGTGGGAACAGTGGGACAGCTCAGTGGGACAGCGGCGGGGACAGTGGGACAGTGGGGACAGTGGGACAGTGGTTGGGGCCGTGGAGAAAGTGGGGAGTGGAACCATGGTGGGAACAGTAGTGGGGATAGAGGGGACAATGCGACAGTGGTGGGGGCACTGGTGAGGACAGTGGTGACGGTGGTGGGAAAAGTGGGGACAGTGGTGGTGAGGACAGTGGTGCTGGGGACAGCAGTGGGGGATGTGGTGCGGACAGTGGTAGGGACCCAGAGTTGTTTGCTGGCGGTGAGCGTGGGGGGGGGGGAGGGGTTCGAACCGGTAGTGACCCCCCCTGTTTTCAGGGGGGTGTGTGTGTTTTCGAACCGGTAGTGGACCCCCCCGGTTGGGTTTTCGCGAGGGGTGGGGTGGTGTTCGAACCGGTAGTGACCCCCCCCGGTTTTCCGGAGAGGGGGGGGGTCGAACCGGTAGTGACCCCTCTCTGGTTTTCTGGAGGGGGGGGGGAGGGGTTCGAACCGGTAGTGACCCTCCCCGGTTTTCGAGGGGGGGGGAGGATTCGAACCGGTAGTGACCCCCCCCCTCGGTTTTTTGGGAGGGGGGGGGTTAGGGGAGGGGGGGGGGGCCCGGCGGAAGGGGGGGGGGGTCCAGCAGGGGGTGGGTATTTTTGGGGGGGGGAACCCAGGTTCCGGAGGAGAGGGGGGGGAATTTTTTCCACAGTAAAGCGCGGTGGATCACGCTCTCTCATTTTATGTATATGTTTCCATATAGGTATATATTATGTACACACATGTGTATAGTCATAACCGTGTGCCTCTACTGAGAGAAAAGAGAGAGAGAGATAGAGAGAGACATAACGATGCGCATGCATAATTAGAATTAATGTGCACATGCACATGTTTTTTTATATAAATGGTTCCCGGCAAAGCACCTACAGCGATGTGTAGGACCACTCTGGAAGCATTTCCCTAAGATTCAAATGAATTCCAGTTGTAGAAAATTCTTTCTGGCTATTCTCCGAGGTTTACAGTTGTAGTCGCTTCGCGATGACATGTGCAGCGGCAACGGCAGTCGCAGTCACAGCTCAGCCTCAGTCTGCCTCAGCCTCAGCCTGCCTCAGCATCAGCCTGCCTCAGCCTCAGCCTCAGCCAGCCTCAGCCTCAGCCTGCTTCAGCCTCAGCCTCAATCTGCCTTCAGCCTCAGCCACAGCCTCAGCCTGCCTCAGCCTCAGCCCGCATCAGCCTCAGCCTCAGCTCAGCCTGCCTCAGCCTCAGCCCTGCCTCGGCGTCTGCCTCTCCTGCCTCAGCCTCAGCCTCAGCCTGCCTCAGCCTCAGCCTGCTCAGCCTCAGCCCTCAGCCTGCCTCTCCTCAATGCTCAGCCTCAGCCTCAGCCTGCTTCAGCCTCAGCCTCAGTCTGCCTTCAGCCTCGGCCTCAGCCTCAGCCTGCCGCAGCCTCAGCCTGCCTCAGCATCAGCCTCAGCCTCAGCCTGCCTCAGCATCAGCCTGCCTCAGCCTCAGCCTCAGCCAGCCTCAGCCTCAGCCTGCTTCAGCCTCAGCCTCAATCTGCCTTCAGCCTCAGCCACAGCCTCAGCCTGCCTCAGCCTCAGCCCGCATCAGCCTCAGCCTCAGCTCAGCCTGCCTCAGCTCGCCTCAGCCTGCTCAAGCGCTCAGCCTCAGCCTGCTTTCACCTCAGCCTCACCTCTCAGCCTGCCTTAGCCTCAGCCTGCATCAGCCTCGCCTCAGTCTGCTTCAGCTCGCTCAGCCATCGGCGCTCTGCCTCAGCTCATCCTGCATCAGCCTCAGCCTGCTCAGCTCATCCTCAGCTCAGCCTTCTCAGCATCATCCTGCCTCCGCCTCGCCTCAGCCTGCCTTAGCCTCAGCCTCAGCCTGCTTCAGCCTCAGCCTCAGCCTGCCTCTGCCTCAGCCTCAGCCTGCCTCAGCCTCAGCCTCAGACTGCTTCAGCCTCAGCATCATCCTGCCTTCAGCCTCGGCCTCAGCCTCAGCCTGCCTCAGCCTCAGCCTGCTCAGCCTCAGCCTCAGCATCACCTGCCTCAGCATCAGCCTGGCCTCAGCCTCAGCCTCAGCGCCTCAGACTCAGCCTCAGCCTGCCTCAGCCTCAGCCTCAGTCTGCTTCAGCCTCACCTCGGCCTCGGCCTCAGCCCGCCTGCTTAGCATATGATCTTCATCAGCCATCAGCCTCAGCCTCAGCCTGCCTCATCAATCAGCCTGCCTCAGCCTCAGCCTCAGCCTGCCTCAGCCTCAGCCTCAGCCTGCTTCAGCCTCAGCCTCAGTCTGCCTTCAGCCTCGGCCTCAGCCTGCCTCAGCCTCAGCCTGCATCAGCCTCAGCCTCAGCCTCAGCCTGCCTTAGCATTAGCCTGCCTCAGCCTCAGCCTCAGCCTCAGCCTCAGCCTGCCTCAGCCTCAGCCTCAGTCTGCCTTCAGCCTCGGCCTCAGCCATAGCCTGCTGCAGCGTCAGCATGCCTTAGCCTCAGCCTCAGCCTGCATCAGCATTCAAAGTGTGGCCCAGGAATGGAGTTCTGGGAACTCGAAGAACGCGAAGTGGCCTACAGTTGGCTCTGGGCATTCAAAATCATGCCCAGGAATGGAGTTCTGGGAACTCGAAGACCACGAAGTGGCCTACAGCTGGCTCGGGGCATTATATAAACAATTGGCACATGGGTTGAGAACAACCCTAGTCGCCTTGGCGGTGTCCCTTATGTTCTCAGTGTTGGGGCCCTCCACCTTGGGAAGCTCCTCGTGCTGGGTACCGTCACGGGGCAGATAGGGCCCTTTGCAGAGGGGCTGTTGCTCCTGTTCCACGCTCTTGTGGCCTTGCTTCGAAGGTATACTAATGTTTGAACTACGTGGGCCTCTCGAGCCCAGCCTAGCAGTGCGCAGGAATCCCAGCAACTATGAGCCCGAGGCCCTTTGCGAGGATTGCAATATTGAGTACCGAGGTCCACATAGCCAGTATTGAGGGATATCGGTGACAGTCGCAAGGCTGGTGCATGGTTTACGTTGTATGGTTGTCGCATGGGTCACGTTGTACTTCTGAGACCCTGCCTGGGTGTTCCTCAGATTCCTTCTCAGTCTTATCATATATCCCGTCCTCTTCATCCTCCCCGTCCTCCTCTTCACTGGGGCGCACGCAGGAGGAGGCGAGCAACCGAGACGAGATTCTCGAGCATGCACGACTGCTGCGCAAGTTCGGCCTCGACGGCAGCGAGGGCGCAGGCCGACCTACTCATCGATCTCGCTACAGTGAGCAGGCGGTGCCCCAGGAAGGCAGCCTTCTTGCCCTTGCGCGCACCTCCAGAGAGGACCCCCTGTCGTCTCGGCTGGACGCGGCCCGGAAGAGTGAGCAGAATGGATCCTGGGAGGGGTCATAGAGAGCAGATTTAGAGAAGCAGAATGAGGAGGAGGGGGATGACGAGCCCCTCTGTCACAGAGGGCCTCCAAACACCGCCCCTCTGTCACAGAGGGCCTCCAAACAACGCCCCTCTGTCACAGAGGACCGAAATGATTCACTAATTCCTGCTGTGGGATTATGGGAACATATTCTGAGCGGATTGAAGTAGGCCGGGATGCATGCCCTGAGAAGGTAACATGCACAGCATTGTGAAATCAAGAAACAGAGAACGGACAAAGGTACGACAGGGAGATTGACTCTGATAGGATGTCCTGGCACGTGGAACTCAAAGATAAGGCACATCAGCGTAAGGGTAAGGAGGAAGTTTGCATATTTACTGAAAGCAACCATCCCCCCATAGCCACTCAGCATACGTAGGATCTCTCCGAATTCCCCGAACAGTGGTTCTCATTTGAGTTCTGATTACTTCGCTGGGCCTTCAGGTTTTTCGGTCGGGGAAGCCCGTGGCCGCTTCATGACCGCTTCGTGACCGCCTTGTGCGTTGGCTGGCGTGTTCCGGGTTTTCGGCCGGTGGACGCCGATGGTTACCTCGTGGCCGCCTCGCGGCTGGCGTTTCTGAATTTTCGGCCAGACGCCGACCGTGGCCGTTCCCTGGCCGCCTCGTGCGTTGGTTGCACCGGACAGATTGCACCACATGGATGGCACCACACCAATTGCACAACGTAGGTTGCATCACCCAGGTGGTACTGCGTACAGCTTGCATTGCATATGGTTTCGACGGTTCTCTGTTCAAGAGAACAAGCTCTACCACCCTCCCGAGCCCATACTCAACCGTGCCCTTATCTGCATTGCAAGTTACGTATACTTCTGCCTCGTCGCTCTTTCCCTTTTTTGATTTCATACCATCCCGGCCAAACTGGTAGCGCCCCGCCGCCCCCGTCATCCTTGTCCAATAACACAATTCGCGCGCACCCGCTCATCTGAAAAGATTTATCTTCAATAAACCCTTGCGAAGAATAGCGCAAGGTCCGCACGCGCGCACATGACGAAGTGAAAACAAACACGCTTGTGTTGCAAGTAGTTCAACCAATAACCAGGAAGAAAGCGGCAAACAACATGTTGCAAATTTGCTACCCGCGAGCACTTGTCGAAATCATATGAATTGAATTGTTTTAGCAAACTCGTCCAAAAACCGTGCTCGTTCCATCACGCGGCGCATCCACGTTGATCTGACATGCGCCCAGCGCACGAATCCTTTTCGATTGTACCATTCGGGCCACTTTCGCGCGCCGCCGCGCGCGCTTCGAAGTCGTCATACAAATATTGTGTATCGGAGCATTTCAAGACAGAGCCCTCCAAACACATATGAAAACAAACCAAGTGCGTGTCATCAACAAGTGTGCCAGATTTCTTGGGTGTCCGCGCGCGCCTTTTAGAGCATCACCTTCACCAGCGCCATCGCATCACCGCCGTTATCGCCATCGCCTGTCGTCGCCATTTCCGCCACCATCATCACAATGATATTCATCACTGGCATACGATCATCATCCAGCATCGGCGCCGTCATTGGCTTCGCCGTCGTCATCGTCACCATCGCCACCACCATCGCATTTGATTCCGCTTCCCACGTCATCATGATACCGCGCCCGCCCGAGTTGCCGACCCGCACTGAAATGCCAGCGCGCCAGCGTGGCCATGGAGACGCGTTGGGAAATTCCCACCGGTAAACGCCATCGCGGCCGCATCAGCTGCGCCAAACCAGCTGGTTGCTCCGCGCGCAAGCGCGCAAGCGCCAGCGCGGCCGCAGAGACGCTGTAACAAACTCCAATCGGGAACAACAGCCGTGGCCAAATGGGGCTTACCAAACAAATTACGAGCGGGAGGACGGGATGGCTGCGCGATTTGGAAATTGGTATTTTCAAATTCTTCAAGGTGGATCCTCCCTTCAAAAGACGCACAGACTCTACCACCCTCCCGCCCCAGACTTACCAGCGCCCCTTGGGACATTCTAAATGACATGTGGTTTTATCCAAATAGGCTTCCCCGTATAGGGGTTCTAACTCAAACCTTACTAATTGATCCGTTGTTTCCCCCCTAATTTCTATCCCTTCAACCTAATTATATGGCTATACCTGTACCTATGCCTCCCCCTAACTCTTATCCCTACGCCTCATCGTCATCATCATCGCCCTCACCACTACCAGTACCCACTACCGATTTGGAGTCAACGCTGCCGGATCTCATTGCATCGTTCACTGTTCACATGAATCCGCACAATTCCGCGCAAATCGGGCATCGGCATCCCTTTCATTTTTGCCAAACCAAACTATACGCGTACACGCTTCCATCGCAAAAGAGAATATTCAAATTCTCCTCTTGTTGCAAGGTGGCACAAACTCCGCACGCGAGCACATTTCGAAATCATATCAAACACAACGATTGCACGCATTCCAACGCAAAGAGCATCAAATACGCTTTGGTTTTTCCATGACCATTGTTGCAGAATTTTTGCCCGCGCGTACATGCTGAAAGCATGTGGAAACCATATGACCTCAGCAACTCCGCCCCACATGCTCACTGTTATTTCACCACGAGGTGCGTCCGCCTTGACCCAGTAAGCGCCCAACGCACGATCCCGCATCAAATATTGCGCGCGGGGCCACACCCGCGCGACGCCACGTGCGCGTGCCGACGCCACTACAGAACGATTGGTGCCCGAAACACGCCAAAATAAAGTTCCACTAAAATGCGGAAAAATAGCAGCCAGCGTTGATTCCAAATAGATAGTGGGTGATGATGACGACGATGATGACGATGAGGCGTAGGCATAGGAGTTATGGGGGGAGACATGGGCATAGGCATGGGCATAGCCATAGGAATTAGGGGGGGCCATAGAACCATCAAACCATTTTTGTTGCTGCGCCGGCGGCTATGCAGAGTAACTGCGCTGGCGGAGAGCTTACTAAAGGGGGGTGCCGTCGTAGAGAACTGTGCCACCATGCAAGGTAGAGCAATCAAAACATGTTTTTCCGTCGGCGGCTAGGCAGAGTAACTGCGCTGGCGGAGAGCAGACTAAACGGGGGTGCCGTTGTAGCGAATTGCACCACCATGCAAGGCACAACAATCAAAACATGCGTTGCGTCGGCGACTAGACGGAACAACTGCGCTCGCAGAGATCTGACTAAACGGAGGGGTTGTTGTAGCCCACTGTGCCACCATGCAAGGTAGAACTATCAATTCATGTTTTTGTTGCGTCGGCGGCTGGACAGGGTTGTTGCGTCGGCGATTAGGCAGAGTAACTGCGTTGGTCGAGAGCTCACTAAACGGGGGTGCCGTTGTAGCGAATTGAGCCACCATGCAAGGGAGACCATTCAAAACATGTTTTTGCGTCGGCGGCTAGGCAGAGTAATTGCGCTGGCGGCGAGTTCACTAAACGGAGGGGCCGTTGTAGCGAGTTGTGCCATAATGTCAGGTAGAACAATGAAAACATGTTTTTGCGTCGGCGGCTAGCCAGAGTAACTGCCCCAGCGGAGAGCTCACTGAACGGGGGTACCGTTGTAGCGAATTGTGCCACCATGCAAGGTAGAGCAATCAAAACATTTGTTTTTGCGTCGGCGGCTAGGCCGAGTAACCGCGCTGGCGGACAGCTACCTAAACGGGGGTACTGTTGTAGCGAATTGTGCCACCATGCAAGGTAGAGCAATCAAAACATTTGTTTTTGCGGCGGCAGGCTAGGCAGAGTAACTGCGCCAGCGGAAAGCTAACTAAACGGGGGTGCCTTGGTAGCCAGTTGTGCCACCATGCTAGGTAGAGCAATCCAACCCTTTTTGTTGCTGCGTCGGCGGCTAGGCAGAGTTAGTGCGCTGGCGGAGAGCTGCCTAAACGGGGGTGCTGTTGTAGCGAATTGTGCCACCATGCAGGAGGGGACAGGACAGAAGAAACGACCGAAGGAGGGAGGGAGAAGAGCGAGGCCGCTCAGGGGGACGGGTCACGCCCGGAGCGCGTGGCGCGGCTGGCCCCAGAACAATCAAAACATGCCACGGGAGATCTTAGCACGCTGGTGGCACGTTGGGCCGGCCAGTTCTTGCAACGCCCAGGCCTGAGGGAGTTGCACGCCTTCGTCCCCCGACATCCGGCGCTCCACGTTTCCTGGTGGACCCCCGGAGGTATCGGCCACTTCCCCAGGGGCCGGCTTCCCATCCTGACTCGTTTCTTGATTGTCCCATCAGGGCCCCAAAGGCAGAATATGACCCAAAATTCGCCGCTCCAATGTTGTTCGAGGCCTCGGATCTCTGGGCGCCCTCGTCCCTGAGATCCAACGGCGCGAAACATTTGGGCATCGTGAAACATCACCACCAGAGCCCTAGACCCGATCCTCTTGCGGCATGTTTCGTGCAGGATCGATCAGCGAGGGGTCGGGGCGCGAAACCTTGCGGAAACGCCCGGCTCAAAAAAATGGAGACGCGAGAGTCTCAGAAAATGTTGTTCGGGGCTTCTGCTCTCTGGGCTCCGAGGCGGGAATTTGTAGACGACCACCGCCCGGAGGATCGATGTTCGGGGACCTCGGCAGGCGGCGGATATGGATCGTTCGGGCCCCCGGGGGCCAAAATATATCCAGATCCACCGCCCGCTGGGGCACCGGGACGTCGGTTCCCAGGCGGTGGATACGGATCAGTCTCCGCCTCGCACTCGCCCACGTTCCCAGACCCCCGACGTCGCGATTGCTTCACGGCGTCGACCCTCAGAGGTCCGGACCCGAGGTCCGGACCCCTTCCCCGGGGTCGGGTTCTCATCCCGGGCCGTTCTGTTGACGGCCCCGAGGCCTGGTGAGGGCCTCCAGAGGCCAAACATAGCGAGAAACCTTCCGTCGCGATCTTTCCGTGCCTCGAGGGGGTCCGGGTCTCCCCCCGCAGGCGGCCCCGCCGATGCCGATGCCGCGGCGGCCGAGCGGGGCGCGCCCTGGGAGGCGCCCGTTGGGCCCCCCATCCAGGGGCGCGGCGGCTCCCAGGGGGGGGGGGTGCGGGCTCCTCCTCCTCCTCCTCCTCCTCCTCCTCCTCCTTCTCCTTCTCCT